ATGTATTGTTAAAGAATGAGTAAAGTAAAAAAAAAAAAAAAGTAAAACCCAATTTTGTTCACTTTATTCCTTACTCATTGCTTAGGAGATGACTTTGTCCATCATGAATATCCCTCTTTATCGGTGGCAATCATCTCTTCATGTCCTTTTGGAACTATTGCCACTGCTTCTTTATTCCACAGAATGCCAATAAGCATTTTGTCTTCTTTTTCCCACACCTCACTGTGCCAAGAAATAACGATTGTAGCCACTTGGTTCTGATCATCCACGTCGATATATGTACATCTTCACTATAGGTTCTACTTGTATTTTTTTGTATTTTTTTAGGCATCTCTGTTCATTGTTTTTGATGAAATAATGTGTTTTGCAACTCAACATTTCCAAAGGCCTAACCACTCTGTCATAATGAGCCCAATTCAAAATTTTCATTACCTGGCGCCACCATATTATTCACCCTTCAACATTATAGCAATTGTGTATTCCACCATAGGATAGACATCAAGGAGATGTTATGCAGATATTAAAAAGCGTTGCTTTTGGTACATGGGAGATTTGAAAACCCATTATTCTCTCCTTTTAATGCCTTTGTTCATGTAGTGTTTATATTTAACTGCAAATTCACAGACTCAAAATAGTAATTATTATCAAGGAAGGCAAGAAGCGGTTTCAAAACAATGATACAATGATAATTAGTGGTTGAGGAAGGAAGGAGCGGTTTTTTCGTGTTTATATTTAACTGCAAATTCACAGACTCAAAATAGTAATTATTATCAAAGAAGGCAAAAGCGGTTTCAAAACAATGATACAATGATAATTAGTGGTTGAGGAAGGAAGGAGCGATTTTTTCTGAATATCAGATCGATGTTATCGAAGAGGCATAAGTAGTATTAAAGACGATTGTTAAAGGTGCCTATTGGATTTTGATAACCGAAACACCTTTTTCATATTTTTTAAGAAGGAAAAATGCTAAATTATAAGAAAATAGATAAATACAAAAACTGCTCTTAGGAAGGTGCAAAGTCATCCTTTCTAGTCCCTCAATTATATATATATAGAGATTAGTATTATCTTAGCCAGGGTTCCAAACGTCATTTGACAGGTTCTTTGGCGGATATTTGGGCCTACTTCTCTTTCTAATGGATCCACTTTCACTACCTTTGTTATCTTGGGCCACATTCATAACAAAGAATTTTCTGGAACCATTAGAGAAGAATTATTTGTAGCTCTAATACCAAGATGTTAGGCAGGTATTGAAAAATTAATGTGAGTATTCCTCGTTATTGTAGCTTTAACAATTTAGTAAATAAAAACTTGGTATTAGAACTAAGTATGACAAGGACAACTTTTATGTCAGTCAATATATATATTAGTTCATGTCATATGGATTCTGTAATGTTTTGTTATTCTTTTTCGCCTTTTAGTGGTGATGCATCACCTTCTCGTGTTGTAACCTGAGGTAAGGATTAGTCCCCCTCTATTCCTTTTTGGTTAAGACAACACAACCTGTCAAGATGCTGGAAAATTTTCACTAGCAGAAAGCAACTCGGACTTTGCTTTTGTTTAAAAAAAAAAGGAAAGTAAAAGCTTGGTAGTGAAGGGTATTTTTGTAAATTAATATACTAGCACCCACTCAAAGAGGACCACATGGGTATATTTGTTCTCCACGTGGTATTTTCCATATATAACTTCTCCTTTATTTTTATTTATTATTGTACTTGGCTTTTCATTTGTTTTTTAAGATCCAGCACTTTTCTATGAAAGAAGATACTCCTTTGCGCTCCATTTTCTTTCCAAACTGCTTGGTTCTTCTTCTATTTCCGATTCTTAGCTTAAATCTTTAGATGGTTCTTCTTCTTCCTCCTCTTTTTTTCCCATTATTTTTGCTGTAATAATGGGGCGTTCCTTTCAATTTCTTCCAGCCATCTGTCTATTTCAATTTTTGCAGGGTTGTTTTTCGTCTTCCTCTTTCTTGTGGCTTTATTCATGCTTTCTATATTTCAATTTTCACCTTCTAATTTTATGATTTGGTCTTCCCTGATTTTGACTGAGTTGTTCTATGTGTTGCATGTGTTAGCTATGTCTTGGGATGAATAGTCAAAGTTAATTTATAGTGGTTCTTGCCTGCAAATTTGGTCTTCCTGTCTACTATTTTTGGATAAAATTTAGGACACCTCCAACTTTTGGGAAGTTTTTTTTGGTGATTTTGCTTACATGCATGTCAATAATTTTGCAACTGGGTTTCTTTTTTTTCCTCAAAATTGTATTTTCCTATATCTGATGAGATTGCGACTACACTGAATAGTTTTTCGCTATTTTTCATTTTTTATGCTGAATTATTTTTAGAGTATAGTAGTAAATTGCTGCGGTTTGATGTATAATATTTTGCCTCTTTATTTAGGAATCGTTTGACCATAAATTTTGCCAAAATAAATTTGGGTTTTATTTGGCAAATACATGTTTGGTCATAGATTTTGCCTACATTTTGGCAAAATCCCAAATCCCAAAACCAGCTGGGCCAAAATATCACTATAACATTTTTTTAAAAATTGTCCCAAACTTTTGTATTTTATAAAAGAGCCCATCATTTATTATTTTGTAACAATGTTGCTTCGTCTTCTCGGACACCTAATAGTGNTTGTTTCGTCTTCTCGGTCACCTCATAGTGTATCTATCATGTAGTTCATTGTAAAAATGATAATTTTGTATCAAATTTATTTATGTTCAGGACTATGGTTTGCGATAATATAACGAATGTTATTGATAATTGTACTGTTGGGTATTTGTGATAATTTTTAGAACTTGTGGGTATAAGTCATGTTTCATGTTTTTCCAAAATAAATTTGGGAAATATGTTTTGAAAACTGATGTCCAAACACATTTTCATCTTCAAACCAAATTTCACCCAAATTAGATTTTTCAGAATAAATTTGGAAATCTATGCCCAAACGCTAGCTTATCTAAATGAAATAACCCTGGCAAACTTGAAAGAGTAAATAATTTTACTAACAGTCGTGAGTAGTTGCTATAAATCCTATATATTATTTTTCCACCACAGTTAATTTTAAACCACAACAATTCGTAAGATCATTTTCCTTATAAATCATTTTGCCCGAAAAAATGTTGTCTTCTAATTTTCCTTCTATTGATGAATATACTTCCTTAGTGCTGGCTTGGGTGAAAGTTTCAGAGTCAACCTTGAGGATACCGAAGAATGAGGAGCCAATGGCGACTTAGTGCCAATCTTTTCTTTCAAATGTCGTGCTAATTTAAAATTATGGTTTAGTTTGGTTGAGATTTCTGGAGCATGGTGTTTCTTTGGTGTAGAGTTAGGAGCAAGGTTGGATTTAGAATGAAGTTATTACCTTAGGCATAGGAGTTGTGAATGAAATTGAAGGAAATTTACTTAGGATTCTAGGAGCTAAATGTGAAGAAAAATGTCTAATTGCTGCAGGCTGAGGTGCAAATTTTGTTGTTACCTTTGGAGTTGAGAGTGGGTTAGGTTTGATTAATGAAGTTTTGAAAATTTATCTTTGTTATGGAGTTGTGTAGTTTTGTAATATAGCTTATTATGTTGCTCTTAAATTCTAGTGAGGAACATCTTCAATTGAGTATAAGATAAATTTTAATGATGTATTTTGTTGCTTGCTACAGGAAAACTGATCAAACAATGGATTGGCGCAATCATGTCTCTTTCTGTGCCCACAGGTTGTTTATTAGCTTCCAGTTTATACTTTTGTTTTCTGATGATGCTTATTAGTTCAAGTACCATGTTCCTACTTAAAGAAAAGATGGTCTGCTATATCGCTATCAAAAGAGAAAAAACTATGAAACTCTTTTGGTGTTACGGATAATCAAAGAATATGGATTATTGAAATGGAATTTCAATTATAAGGCCTGCTTTAGTTTTTGGTTCTCACGAGTATATTGATTTTGTTATTAAATTACAAGAGCGTAATCTGGCTCTAATTATTGTGTAGACTACTTTTAACACTGCACATATTCAGGTAAGATATAGAGGCGTGTAAACCTATTAATAATTTCAAATATTTTTTGATGTTAATATTTTGTCTTTGCTATTGCTTTTATTGTAGATCATCATGGATTTAGCTTGGTATACTATATTCTAATTCTAATGCTTGCTTTTTCTTGTCTTTCAGTAAATACCAAGATGAAGCATGTGTTGTTAGCTGCACCTCTTGAACTCCAGATTTTATCAAATCTTTTGATTGTTTTGGTCTTTCTAGCAAACTAAAGAATGTACTTGTACAACTTTGTTCCGCAATTACATCTCTACATGTGTGATGTACTTTATGTTAATATTAAGCACATTATGTTAATATTTAGCTTCGTGGTACTGTTTTTATTTTTTTATTTTTTTTATAGTCTAACTAAACAATAATGTTATCTTCTGCATATATAACAATTTCGCACAAATGCCCGTGCTTTTGCACGGGCCATCTAGTGTATTTCATCTAGTGTATTTATAAGTGAACAATTACAACACTAATTTACATAGAAGATAATACAAAATATGTTCAAATGAAGTCCTACTAGAACTAGTATACATTAATATAACTTCAACAACGCCATCAACCAAGTAGCGCACACGCGGAAATAAGCCAACCATTCTTTCAATACGTCTTTTAGCGGCATATTTTTGTACAACCTTAGAAAGTAAATTTATTAGAATTTAAACAAACCAGATCTTAACATTATCATAATTGGATCTCCACCAGGAAAATGGTATCGATGATCTGATTTTTGGTGACTAGATGATACGGTCATTAAGAAATACTGATAGTTAGCGGTCAAGTAAGATCAGAGGTTCACTTCTAAAGGGAGGACAAGATATTCTCCCCAGTTTCATTTATGTGACAACATTTCGTTTTTGTCTGTTTCAGAAACAACGACAACTTTCTAATTTTGAAAATAATTTTACTTAAATGTAACGATCCAAAATCTCACTACAAACGTCGTGATGACACTTAATCTCTAAGACTAAGTAAGCCGATCATAATAACAATTCAAGCCATTTTTTATTTATTTATAGATAATCGAAACCAACAGCGAAAATAATGATACAACCTCCCAAGACTGGTAATACTAAGTCACGAACTCTAACTGAATATATAAAATGATCTCAAGGAAATCAAATACACTACTAGAAATTCGGCAAAAACCGACCAAGGTCGACCGACCAACTTTGGTCGATAAAAAAATCGACCAAAAAACCGACCAAAGTTGGTCGGTTTTTCAAAATATTTTTTTTTTTCGAAACCGACCAACTTTGGTCGGTTTTCTTTGACGCAAAAATGCGGAAAATTATTTTTGAGTCCCGCAAAATTTATGTTTCAAGAAACCGACCAACTTTGGTCGGTTTTTCAATTAATATAAATAAAAATTAATATTAAAAAAACCGACCAAAATTGGTCGGTTAATTCGGGGGTCATTTAAAAAAATCGACCAACTTTGGTCGGTAATTTTACTTTTTAATAAAGTCGACCAACTTTGGTCGGTTATTTTCGTGCGAAAATACAATTAAAGAGTATAAATCAAATAAAAGACACTCTTAAAACAAAATGTACAAATGGTCCAGTGGTAGAATAGTATCCTGCCACAGTATAGACCTCGATTCGATTCCCAGATGGTGAATTTATTTTTTACATAATTAAAATACCAACCAACTTTGGTCGGTTTTTTTTTCAATATTTTTTTTTTGAATTTAATTGACCGACCAAAGTTGGTCGGTAATTTCTGACCAACTTTGGTCGGTAATTTCCGATCAACTTTGGTCGGTATTCCTTTCCGACCACAAAAATACCGTCCACACGTAAATGGTCGCGTTTTGGTCGGTTTTTGGCCATTACCGACCAACGTTGGTCGGTTTTTTTGGTCGGTTTTTACCGAATTTCTAGTAGTGATATACAATATTGTTCGAATAATAATTGACAATACGATAAAATGGAAAGACTCCAAAGGACTGCGACGACCAAGCAACTCTACCTTGAATCCTTACGATCACACTCTAACTCTGTTCGAGTCCGATATCTCCAATACCTGGCTCTGCACAAAAATATATAGAAGTGTAGTATAAGTACACCATAGTCGGTACCCAGTAAGTATCAAGACTAACTCGGTGGAGTAGTGACGAAGTACAATCAAGACACTCACTAGTCAAATAACCTATTCAATATAGTATACAAAAATAATAGAAAAACAAATAGCAGTGATAACAATAATAATCAACTAGTGATGTAAACATCAAGGCAACAAGACACCATAATTATTACTCAAACGAATAAGAAACACAAGTACACCCAATTAAACAAGTCCTCCAAAATAAATCCTTCACATATAATTTTTTCGAATAAATACCCTCCGAATGTATTTCTTTAAATAAATATCCTTTGAATATAATACTCTTTTCAAATAAATATCTTTTGAATATACTTCTTTCAAATAAATATCTTTCGAATATAATTCTTTCAAATAAATATCTTTTGAATATAATTCCTTCGAATAAAATTCACTCTGTGACACCTCGTTTCATAATCATAAAATACGGGTCTCAACCCACTTTTATATTTTTGTAACATGGGTCCCAGCCCACTTTTATATTTTCATGGCACCTTGTGCCCATATTTCTATCAAAACCGTACGGACAACTCACGTGCCAATAATATAAACTATCATATTTTCCCCACCACCTCGTACCCACATTTCTTATCATATCTGCATGGACAGTTCACGTGCCAATAATATAAATCGCTTGGCAATAGCCACATGCTCACAATTTCAACATGAATCAGATTTTTATCAAGTTTACCGAAATAACAAGATAAGTTGCACAAGAGATAAAATAAATACAAAAAAATATCACAACATCACATAAAAATTACCAACACAATAATCCTACATCATCACGTATCATCCCTGATAATAGCCACCCTTATCTCCCTTATAGCCACCCGTATCACTCCATAATAATAGCCACTCGTATCACTCCGCCCTGACAATATCAATAGCCACCCTTATCGCTCCTATTAATAGCCACCCTTATCGCTCCGCCCGACAATATCCCAACATACATAACCACAGTGAAATGCCACCCTTATACCCACATAATGTCAACAGTGAAATGCCACCCTTATGTCCTCATAATAATAACTCAAATCACATAACAATTTACACGGAATATTATTACGACAACACAATACAGCAATTCATATCACAATTTGCCCGTAGGCAACAACCAATTCTAAAGACACAACAAATTCACTTAAATTCACAGCAAGTAGCCCAAGACTCCACACAATGTACACAAAAGCTCAAAAACAACAATAGAGATGGAAAAAATAACTCAGTATAGGGCAACACCTTCATTCATACAAATTCTTGATAATTATATTAACGCCTCAATTTAAACTTATTTAATTAATTATTTGCAGATGAAAAATCCATAATATAATTATTTTCAGGAAATATCAAATCAACAAACTCACGGAATTTACATAAAAATTCAAGTGACAATCACACCAAATTATCATATAAAAACAAATTCGAAAAACAGGATTGAGGCATGGCAAATAGAGGATTTAATAAATGCTAATAATTATCCAATTTACTAAACAAAATTTCTAAGACTTTAACCCAATAAATTTTGCACATATAAGCCCGAGTACGTACTCGTCACCTCGCGTACACGGCTTTTCACATTTCACAAATGTCATGTAAGACTCAATGCCTAAGGGGTAATTTCCCCCACTCAAGGTTATTCAAGATACTTACTTCTTTTAACTTATGCCAACAACAACAACAACCCAGAATAATCCTACTAGTGGGGTCTAGGGAGGATAATTTGTACGCAGACCTTACCCCTACCCTAGGGTAGAGAGGCTGTTTCCGATAGACCCTCGGCTCCCTCTCTCCAAGAACTCCCACCTTGCTCTTGGGGAGACTCGAACTCACAACCTCTTGGTTTGAACTTATGCCAATATTCCAAAATAACCGTCTTGCTTGAATAAATTCTCCGGACAGCTCAAATCTATTAAAATTAATTGTATAACTTTATTAAAATTCATCGGAACCAATTCTGAATAATATAACGTCTTTTTAAAATTTAAAATTAAAAAGTCAACCAAAGTCAATGCAGGGCCTGCCTCTCGAAACCCGACATAATTTTCACAAAATTCGAACACCCATTCCGATACGAGTTCAACCATACCAATTTTATCAAATTTCGATAACAGCTCGACCTCCGAATCTTAAATTTTCGTTCTTGAAAAGTTTTATAAAAATCTTGATTTATTCTATTTAAATCCAAAATAAATGATGAATATAATTATGAACTATAATCATTTTCGGATATAGAACACTTACTCCAATCCTTATGGTGAAATATCACCTCAAAGATTGCTTCAATCCGAGTTCCATAGCTCCAAATATGTTAAAATGGCCGAAACCCCTGTTTTAGAATCTATCCAGGCAAGTTGCATTTGTCATTTGAGACTTATAAATTGCATTTGACACATGCAGTTTTTGCCTCAGTCCCAGAAAATAGCATTACAAGTCTTCATTAAATTGATCATAACTTTCTGTACAAATATCCAAATGATGAATTATTTAACTTTTCGGAAAGTAGACACCAAGGGCTACAACTTTCATGTTTTGATAATTTCTCGATTCCTTATAGATTTCTAGATATAAGCTTCCAAAGTCAGCTCTGCGCATCAGAAATCTGGCGATGCACACTGCTGTAGCCAAAATCTATAGTACCAGTTTTTAGTCAATCGATCATAACTTTCTATACAGATGTCCAAATGATGAATGGTTTATCTTTCTGGAAACTAGAATCAAAGGCTACAACTTTAATGTTTTGAAAATTTTCATATTCCTTATAGATTTCGAGATATAAGCTTCCAAAATTCCAATGTGATTGCACCAGTTGTTGCCAAAAACAGCTGCTGCCATCAAAAATTCCAGCAGCTTCAACAAGGCGCCAAACGATCCGAATTCCATCTGAAACTCATCCGAGCCACTCGGGACCTTGTCCAAATATACCAATAAGTCCTGTGACATAATACGGACCTGCTCGAGGTCTCAAATCACATCAAGCAACATTAAAACTACGATCGCACCTCGAATCGAATTATGAGTTTATGAATTTTCAAAATTCTATAATTTGCGCCGAAACGTATCAGATCAATCCGGAATGACTTCAAATTTTGCACACAAGTCATAAATGACGTAATAGAGCTGTTTCAATTTCCGGAATTAAAATCCGACCCCGATATCAATAAAGTCAACTCACGGTCAAACTTTCCAAAAATCT